AACCTGTCCACAAGCGATTGCTGTAATACTACATCGGACGCTCAGCTTCCCCCGTAAAATTGCCAAAAGTATTTAATTAGTCAATGTATAAATGTATTTTTTTTTTGCAATTAAAAGTGTAATCTGTCTTACTAATTGCACCACAAGAAGATGCACATTATACATAAATGTACATTATGTTCCCTTTGAAGCCAGGGTAAATATAGCCTAAAGGCACCCATTGAAGCCTAAGGAATGCTTTTGTATGCTTTGTCTAAATGGAGAATAAGCAAAAGCTTGTTGCACAATATGCTTCAATGACTTATTTCAGGAGTGCACCTGCACGTCGTGCCTCACTGGAAGTGTATGAGACTTTCAGACAAAGTTGCAAAGATAGATTTGCCGTGACATATTTTAGACCCACCTGGAAGCCGGGCTTCTCTGCATGGTGTTTGGGGAAATATCTCATCAAGACAGGATAAATTAGCAATAACATTAAGGGTCATGACTGACAAGTTTCTTATACAGTCAAAAGGGGCAGCCTCATCGTATTCATTCATTCGCATGCAGGAGCATGGATATGAGACTGCAGAGTGGCAGTTTATCGTTTCATATGTCATCTTTTGCCATTTTTACTTGTAAATATTGTGTTATTGAGATTTCGAGTTTGATCATTTAATTTTCAGTGAAAGTTCAGTGATTTTTTCGTAAACTAGTTTTGTTGTTAGCTTGCTAACTAAGCTGTGTGTCCATTCAAAATGGTCAAGTCACTAAAGAGGGAGCCATGTTGGTATAGCAAGGTAGTATATCATTTCTTCTGAAAAGAATGGACAGCAGAATGTGCATATAAGTAGCTGACTGGCTACAATAAGGAAAAAAGCCCTTTTTTAGTTATACTGCCACTCGTTGACATTGTGCTTCCCCACTGGACCTGTCTCATGTGTGCGCAGTCATAAAACAATTATGCTGTGCCTGTTGGGTAAGAATTACCAGCATTTGACTTCATTTCCCTTAAGCTTGAGATAAAGTTGCCTTTTATGGTGTCAAATTATCAGAGAGAGAGCCAGCTAGATATAACCATTCATTGAAAATTCAAGTGCCAAGGTGTGGCACCAGGAAGATGGTGTTTGGATCCTGGATGCCATACCATTACCAGTGTCATAGCTTATCATGGCACTGTCACTTTATAGCATCAGGGGTTACTCCTTCTCATACAATTCATATCCCATCCCAAAGCCTGAGTTTTAATCGTATCCTTAAGGAGCTTTAGATAGTACAGTGGTACCTCGGTTCTCAAACACACTAGAACTCGAATTTCTTGAAAGTCGAACAAACCAGTTTGATCTAGAACTCGATCTGAATACCAGAAGTCGAACCGTGAACGCTGACCTAATATAAATTGTACGCGCCAGGAAATGAGTCATACTACAATGCAATTCTTACTTGAATGCCTTCTTCACAGACTGGACGATTAACCAAATAAAGCAGCGCAACATTACAGTAACTAACAATAAATAAACCACTAACTTACGTGTACTATTAGAGCATTTATGTCATTTATTTAAACTTTATTTTACCAGGTAAATTAACTGAAAACCAGTTCTCACTGCTTTACGTGATATTCGGGAGAAATATCAGATTACGCATCGGAACTCCCTGGGATACAAACGTCATGCGTGTAACTAAACTCTTCAGCCATCCATCCATCCATCCATCCATTATCTGCTGCTTATCCGGGGTTCGGGTTGCGGGGGTAGCGGCTTCAGGAGAGACACCCAGACCTCCCTCTTCCCAGCTACTTCTACCAGCTCCTCAGGGAGGACACCGAGGCGTTCCCAGGCTAGCCGAGAGATATAATCCCTCCAGCGAGTCCTGGGTCTGCCCCGGGGCCTCCTCCCTATAGGACATGCACGGAAAACCTCTCCGGGTAGCCGCCCAGGAGGCATCCGCATGGTTTGCCAGAACCTTTTTGAGGCCGACCGAAAGTCACCTTCCATGGCCTCACCGAACTCCTCCCACGCCCGCCGGTACCCGTCAGCTGCCTCCGGAGACCCCCGGGCTAATAATTCCCGGTAAGCCTCCTTCTTCAGCTTCACGGCCCCCCTCACCTCTGGTGTCCACCATTGGGTACGGGGGTTACCACCACGACTGGCACCGACCACCCTGCAGCCACAGCTCCGTACGGCCGCTTCCACAATGGAGGTCCGGAACAGTGTCCATTCAGACTCAATGTCCCCAACCTCCCCCGGTATGCAGTTGGAATTCTGCCGGAGGCACGAGTTAAAGCTCCGGCGAACAGGAGCCTCTGCCAGACGTTCCCAGCAGACCCTCACTATGCGCTTGGGCCTACCAGGTCTGACCGGCTTCCTCCCCCGCCACCTGAGCCAACTCATCACCAGGTGGTGATCAGTTGACAGCTCTGCCCTTCTCTTTACCCGAGTGTCCAAGACGGAAGGCCACAGATCAGATGATACGATTATGAAATCGATCATCGACCTGTAGCCCCGGGCATGTTCGTACCATGTCCACTTATGGACACCCTTATGCTGAAACATGGTGTTCGTTATGGACAAACCATGTATTGCACAGAAGTCCAATAACAGAACACCACTCAGATTCAGATCAGGGAGGCCATTCCTCCCAATCACCCCCTTCCAGGTCACACTGTCATTGCCCACGTGAGCGTTGAAATCCCCCAGCAAAACGATGGAATCCCCCCGCGGCACGCCAAATAGCATACCGCTAAGGGAATCTAAGAAGGCCAGGTACTCTGAACTGACATTCGGCGCATAAACGCAGATGACATTCAGAGACCTATCCCCGACCCGAAGGCGCAGGGAAACAGCCCTCTCGTTCACCGGGGTAAACTCCGTTGTTAATGCACCGAGCTGTGGGGCCACCAATAGCCTCACCCCAGCCCAGCGTCAGCCACCCGCCGCAATTCCAGAATAAAAGAGCGTCCAGCCCCTCCCCAGGAGATTGGTTCCAGAACCCAAGCTATGTGTTGAGGTGAGCCTGACTATATCTAGTCGATAGCTGTCAACCTCACGCACAAGCTCAGGCTCCTTCCCCACCAGAGAGGTGATATTCCATGTCCCGAAAGCCAGTTTTGTTAGCCGGGGATCGGACCGCCAGGGCCTCCCTTGGCTGCCACCCGATCCAGACTGCCCAATAAGGGCAAACGTTCCAGTTTGTGCAGCCGGGTGAGAGGTCGCAATGCATCTAACCGTAATGCATTGCGTCAGGATCAGAATGCATTGCTTTAAGCCAGCTGTAAGCAAGTCGAACGCACCCAATGACCGGACTGGGGAAACAAACTGAAACGCGGACTTAATACAGAGGACTAATGACAACAACCAGAAACAGCTGATCACA